GACTGGTTAGCGTAGAATAACAAGAATTGATAAAGCAATTGCGTACAGTGCATAAATTTGGTGTATTCCCATCATGAGAGTTTTCATGCGGACTCTTTTCATGAATGAATTACGGAAGAGAAGAAGGAATATGTAAAGTGACTAACCACCCAGATATGTGCATATCGAATTTTATCGCCTTTCTCTTCATGCAGACCACTGATTACAACGCACAGCACCGTGAATGTGGTCAATGATGAAAATACCGAAGGGTACATGAATACAGTGTCCCATGCTGTATAGAGTGCAGTCAAGTCGAACAGCAATCTAAGCACAGCGACTACCCAAAGCGCCCTCTGCAAAAAACGGATATATTGCTGGCAGCCTAGATAACTGTGGAGAATTCGAACGCAGTTATTCGGTGTTGTTTCCTATACCAAATAATTGAGCAGTTTTTTTTCCAAACCATCATGACATTCGCACAATTATCAGTTCATGCACAATGTCAGCAGAAAGGTTTGACTTGTAGTTGGATACGACGAGATTAAGGACGATTGTCTGCGACTGATTAAAGTTCACATTTTGTTGAACTATCGGTCACTTGTGTATTGCTTCTTGCGGATTCTATTCGTTTTCGGTTTCAGTGAAATGTAAACGAACGCAAAAAGCCAGGAATGGAAAACCGTACCGTAACCCGCATACAACCACATAAGCACGTCGGCTCTTCCAGTATTATATCCTCTTCGTTGTCATCGTTGTTGAATTGAATTGCAAATATTTGTCGCGACGATTTTGAAGTCATCTGAAACTGAATCCGTCATCGATCAGTATCGTTAACGAAAAGGAACGTAACGAAAAAGCTACACGACGTTACACCATGCGATAGCGATCACTCGAATCACTCTTGCTCAGAAAAAGCTTACAATTAGAAGATGACCAATTCTATGATTGAATAGATAAGAGGTTATTTCTTGCTCAGAGCTGATTTAATAATTTCCCAAAGTGGCATACTTGCCCAAGGGAAGTCCAAACAGCA